CAAAGTAGCTAATTCCCCTCACTCTGACCAGAAGTGGGTAACAGGCTCCTTTGAGCGTCTTCATGTTTGTGGTTTACACAGCACTTTCACATCCAGTTCTGAATCTCTTCCTCACAGCAGTTCAGTCAGGCAGTCCAACCCCACTTTACAGATGGGAAATCAAAGTGTGGTTCACAGCTTCTGCATGGCAGAATGGGGTTTTGACCCCAGAATCTCTCCCTTCTGCCCTTTCCTTCACTGTGATTCCAACTCCCTTTTAACCAATCTGCAGATCACCAACTGCCCCTGGAAACCAAACTGCCATCCAAGCACCCGTCTGGGGCTGGAGGCCGAAGCCCAGACACTCACTGCCTTTCCACCTTCTCTTGGTGTCTTGTATTAATGATGACACCCAGACATTAATAACAATTCCCTACCTCTTCAGAACGCCCCAGAATCTGAAATCTAGCTGTGAAGTCTTCATACAGTTGTCTTCCTGTAAGGCAGAGAGGCTGGCTATTCTCACCTGACCCAAGAAGAAACTGAGGCCCAGGGAGGGGAGGTGACCAGCCCAAGGCCACACAGCTGAGTCAGTGACAGGCCTGGGATGGGACCGGAACCTGAGTCTCCTGCGATCCCCTGCTTACCTGCAGCACCGACAGGTTGGTCTGTCCAGAAAGGCTCAGCTTCTCCTGCTCTGAGGGGTAGGCGTTGTAGCGGTGCAGGTACAGCCAGTCCCGGAGGATCTTCACCGACTCCTTGGGCAGGTTCCCTCTGCGCTTCCTCTTGCCTGCCAGGGAGAGGAGGCCTTCCTCCTCGCCCAGGTCACTGTCCGACATGGTGTCCAGGGGCAAGGCGAGACCTCAGGCAAGCCTGAAAGAGGTGACAAAGGGGATGGGGACGTTATTACCATGTGCTGCCTGTGACCCTTCTCTCAGCACATCATTAGAGCCTGGGACGCCAGAAATGGGGTAATCGAAACTCAGTCTCAGGCCACACCAAAGCTTGGGCAAGATTGAAGGAAGAGCCCAAAATGCCTCTAGTTCATCAGGCCAGAGCAAACTATTGAAACAAATGGTAGACCATTAATAAATAGAACCAGACAGTAATTAGAGCCACCACTGAGGCCTGTTTTCTGTGCTCTGTACTGAGCACTTCACATTTGTTATCTCATTCAGTCCTCACACATGCCCTTGTGAGGGAGACAGTAATATCATCATCATTTTATAGATAAGAAAAACGAAGGCCCAGAGAGATTCAGAAAGTCATCCAAGATACTATGGCTGTTAAACAGTTACCATGGGACCCAGTAATTTCATGCCTAAGGTAGCTGGTTATAAAGACAAGTGAAAACCCATGTCCACACAAAACCTTGTACAACATTATTCATAATAGTCAAAGGTGGAAGCAACCCAAGTATTCTCCAACAGATGTATGGATAAATGAAATGTGGTCTACCCATAATACAGTAGAATATTATTCGGCTGTAAAAAGGAAGTCTCGATACAGGCTACAGTATGCATGAAATTGCAAATATCATGCTAAGTAAAAGAACCCAGTCACAAAAAACACATGCTGTATGATTCTATTTTTATGAAATGTTCAGAATGGGCTGGAAGGGAATAGAAGAGTAATCACTAAAGGGTACGAAGTTTCTTTTCCAGGTGATAAAAGCATAGATTTATTTGCTTTAAATGTGTAAGCTGGGGACTTCCCTGGTGGTACAGTGGATAAGAATCCGCTTGCCAATGCAGGGAAAACAAGTTTGACCCCTGGTCAGGGAAGATCCCACATGCCGAAGAGTTAGTAACTAAGCCCATGCGCTACTACTAAGCCCGTGCTCCACAAGAGAAGGCACCACAGTGAGAGGCCCTCGCATCACAACAAAGAGGAGCCCCCCTCCACCATCCAAGGCAACTAGAGCAAGTCTGTGCGCAGCAACGAAGACCTAGCACAACCAAAAAAACAAAAGTGTAAGCTGTATGCTATGTGAATTATACTTCAATAAAGTTGTTATGGGGAAAAAAAAAAATCTGACCTCCAGGATGTGGCATGGAAGCACGGTTTGGACCCTGATGGCTTGCCCTGGCCCCATGCCTTCTTGGTTCCCAGGTCTCCCAAGACCCAGTGTGGAGTCTGGAAACCCTATCAATCTCCACACTCCTAGAGCAATCCATGCAACATTTACTGTGTACCTATTGTATACCCTGCAGAAATGTTGAATTATCCCTATTGGTTTTCTCTCTGACATTCTCCTTTGTCATTTAGGCCTTGGTCTGGTCCCAGAATCAGTGCCTCAAAAATCCGGAAAAATGAGCAAAGGCTGGGCTCTGGTTCCTCCAGTGTGGCTGTGTGACCTGGGGCAAGCAACCTTCCCTCTCTGGGCTTGCGTCCTAGTCATCTGTCAGTCGAAGGAAGGTGTTTCCCTAGATACTCCCAACTCAGTTGCTCATCCTCCCCGCCACCCAAAGTTCTCCTTCCCCAAGGCAGTAAGAGATCTACATGTTTAAAACCAAAGTTCCAGGACAAGCTGATGCCAGAATCTCAAGGCTCCTCCCTCCTCAGCCTTTTAACAGCTCCCTTGCAGTCTGGGCCAGCAGACTCTGGCATCTCCCAGGTTTTGTTTCCTCGACTTGGGCCGGAGCCCAGATATCTGGGCTGGTTAGGCCAGGCTTTCGAGGGAAGGGTCTACTCTCCCAGCCAGGCCACCTGGAGGTGAGACAGGCACTGGTGAGAGATGCCACTCCTCAAAGAGCACCACCAGCAGGCTGCTTTCTGAGGTCGGGTTTCTGAGGTTTAGCTGGCCAGGGCAGTCGGGACCTGAGCTCAGGCAAGGATGCAGCCCTGGCAGGCTGGGAGTTTACCCGAGGTGATCTGCACAAATTCCACCCTGGCTGCCAATCAAATCCTAGTCTGCAGGGTTCCAGTGGGTGGCCTGCGGAGATGACCCTGCACAGACTTCCCCACCGCAGTGTCTGCGCCCCAGCCATACACGACAACTACAGCAAACACCGGTCACAAACCCCAAGCAGGGAGGTTCACCACACACACACACCCCACACTCCCACCCAGCCTCACACCAGGCAACTCTTAACAGCACTCCCAATACTGGCACCAGCCCATCGCCCAGCCCTGGAACCCCCACGATTTCCACCGACAAATCCAGCAGACACACAGTTTACAAATCCCACCTTCAGCACGAACAACTGGTACCACGCAACCAGTCCCTGGATATACGCCCACTCAAGAACTCCAAACGACTCACCCACCCACGAACTCTCAGACTGGGAAAACTCCTGACCGCACCACACCAGGGATCAGTTCTTACCCTCACTGGCCTGCGGCAGCACCCTCTGAACACAACACCCGGGGCACCACTCAACGACGTCGGACCTGCAAGCACTCCCGCACCGACTTTCTGACAACTCCAGGCAGCTCGGCCGACACTCCCCCGGGCCGAGCCCTCGCGCGGCGTTCCCAGAAGTTCACACAAAGCGCGCAGTCTCCCCCGCGGCCCAGACCCGAGCCGGAGCACATGGCTCCCGGGGCGGCGGGGGAATCGGCCTTCGCTCGGGGCGCCGGCACCCCTCGCACCCCCGCCCCGCCACCCTGCGTCACACTCGGCGCTTCGGCTCCCCGGGGGGCCCGCCACCCCTGTGGGGCGGGGGCTCGGGAAGAAAGAAAACTCACGTGTCTGTCCCGGGGCAGGAAAAAGTTTGGTTCCCACCCTCCTTCCCCCGCCGCTCGGCGCTGGCTGATCTTCGGGGCGCGGGGCCGGCCGAGCCTGCGCGCTCGGCTTTGTGCTCCGAACTCGGCCCGGAGGGGGAGGGGAGGGGGCTGGGCTCCCACCTCCGCACCGCCCCCCCCCGCACCAGCCCTGCGCCCAGACTCCATGTTGGCCGCCCCCTGCCCCAGAGACGGCGCGCTTCCCCCCCCGAGGGAGGCTCGGCTCCGACTCGGCCTGCCCGAAGGACCCGGCGCGCACAAACTTTCTTCGGGTCGCCGGCCCCACGCGCCCCGCTCCCTTGGCCCGCCCGGGAGTGACAGATGCCTCAGAGACAGACTTTCCTTTGTTCCAAAGGAAAAGGGAACTCGCGCGGGCTCCCCGGCCCCCCCCCCCCCAGCTCCGAGACCTTCCCGCTGCCCCCACCCGCAGCTGTCACTCTCGGGGGGCCCCCTCCCCGGCCCGGCCGCGGCGGGGGGTGGGGGGGGCGACCGGCGGTTAGCAACGTGCACTTTTGAAACCAAACAAACCCGCCCCCCGCGCGCTCAACCCCGGCCCCGGGGCTGGGTAGGCCGTCTCCCGGGGCGGGATCCTCGGGAGCTGGGTACCCCCCCTCCGACCAAGGGGCCCCAAGTGAACTTCCTCCGGGAGGGGGGGGGAGGGCGGGAGAGCCGCGCCCCCCCGTACCCCGACCGGCCCCCGCCAGCACACCGCAGTCGGGACTCAAACACATCCGGGCTCACACACCCACAATCGCACGCGCTAGGACGACGCCCCCTCCCCCGCCTGGCCGAGAGAAAGAAACTTTCAAAGTTCTCCGCGCGCCCCCCCACCCCGGCCCCCATCCGCCCCCCCTCAACTCCGGCGCCCCGCACTGACTTTCCCTCAGCGGCTTTTCCGTCCACGCGGCCTCGGGCTCGGTCCCGGGCGTCCCGGCAGGGGGCGGGGGGCGCCGGGGGAGCGCGCCGCGTACCTGCCGGGCCTGACACTCGGGCCTGACAGCTCGCGGCTGGAAAGCACCTCGCGGCCTGACGTCAGATCCCCTCTCCTCCCCTCGGCGCTCGGCTCGCCCTCCCCCACCCGCCCGGAGGGAGAAAACAAACTTTGTGCGGAGCGCGGTGCGCTACGCCCACCCCCCGCGGGGCGGGCCTGCGGAGGCTGGGGGCTCGGCCCCGCCCACCGCGCCCGGAGGGGGCGGGGCCGGGAGGGCACCTTCTTCCTGCGCCCACCCCCGCCCGCAGGAATGCCGCATGGCCTCCGGAGAGGAACGCTGGGGACCCCGGTCGGGACGGTCCGCTTGGGGGGCAGGAAGTGGCCCGTTCCTCCTTTCGGAGAGCGTTTCCGGAGCGCCTACTGTGTGCCCCACGCTGGGGGGTGGGGGCCGTAATGGGGAGGAGAAGTCATGCAGATCCTAACGTTTGTTAGTCTGTTCCCTCCACTGGGATCTCCCGCCGGCGGGTTGATTGTTCCCATTGCTTGGAGAGGAAACTGAGGCCCAGTTGGTCCGGGGATTTACTGCCCGCCCCCCAACTGGTAAGGACTTACTTCGGTCTGAATGTGACGCTGGTTCTGTCCTCAAGTTCTCATAGAGTCGGGTAGAGGTCACCCCTCGGACACAAGCCCAAAGCACGTAGCCCTGGAGTTCATCACACAAGGGGCAGTCAAAGCGAAAAACAGCCAGTGTTTAAGGAGTGTTTGTAAGGCAGTGATGTTTAAGCAGTGACATTAAGCGAGGCACTGCCTGTGTCACCCTCGGCTCTTGCTGTAGGTGCTGTTATATGTCAGTCCTTGGTTTGCCCGTGAGCGGTTCTTAGCCATTGCTTGTTACACGGTCAACCAGAGTCATTCAGCCCAGGTGTGTCCAATAGCGCAGGCCAACCCCTTATCTGATTGAGCCCAGCCCTTGAAGGAGGCAGACCACCTGAGAGCTCTCAGTGCTTCTGGCTGGTATCCTTTTCCTCTGCCCAGGATACCCAACTCCAGTATCTGTCCCTCCGTCTTCCCCAACCCTGCCAGCACTCTTCCCTGCTCTTTGCTCTCTGTTCCGCATACTGTTGACCAACCTGCTGGCCTTTCAGGGAAACTTTGTGCCCTGCAGAGCCTAGCACAGAGTCAGCCTAAAAATGGGCAAGGCCTTTGCTGGGCCTCTGGTTCCTCATCTGGTCCCAGATGACCCTTGAGCTTGGAAATCAGCACCTTTGAAATGGCTTTTGGTCTTAACTGCACTTTAACTATGGAGAACTCAGAAGAAAGATCTGGTTTGCTCCCCAGGTCCTAAGCCCATCAGAATGCTGATTAAATGATGAAGGTGCACCTGGGTTCCCCATTGAAGCCAGACCAACCTGCAAATGCTTATAACCCATTCGGCCACACTGCTTTCCTTGCTGTGATCACCAGGGTGCCAGTACTGCCACCCAGTGCTTCCATTTCACATGGGGAAACCACCGCCCGACTAGAGGCCCCAGACAATTTATTGGGGTGCTCTGTCCACAGCCTTCTGAGAGAAGGGGAGGTTTACATGAAGTCTCAGGTAAGAAAGGTAAAATCCTCAAGACCCTGGTCACTAGGATCACAGAGGAGATGGGGGCCTAGGTAAGGGGGACCTGGAAGGAGAAACGGCTGCAGCCAGATGAGCCTGGCGTTGTGACTGTTCCCAGCACATGGCGACAGGCTTTGTGTCGAGTGCGTGGGATGACCCTGTGTATTCTGCCAGCGGCGGCCCCCTAGGCCAGTATTTCCCAGCTCCTGTGCTACAGCAGGTATCAATCCATCTGGATGAAGGGAAGGGAGCAGCTCCTTCCTCCTTTTAGCCTGCAGCACAGCCACCTGGGAACCGATAACCAAGCAGCTTCAGGAGCCCCTCCCCAGACTTCCTGGAGGGGGAGGGGGAATCAGGAGGTACGGGGCGGCTGGTAGTGTATCAAGATGGTGCATTGTAAACAAATTCCCCAGGTAAAGCCTAAGTACTCCGAAGAGTTTGAGAATTACCGTACAATGTTTCTCAACTGGTAAGTACCAGAATTTATGTGCATCCTTTAAGCCAGGAAGTGTACTTCTAGGAATGTCTTGAGAAATGATTGCAGAACAAAGATGAATGCTTACACAAGGTTGTTCTTTGCAGCACTATTTACTTTGGTGGAAAATGTGAAATAACTCCCTGCCTCTCACTGGGAGCCGATTGCTTACAGTCACTCTGGGACCTCCGCACAGCGGTATGTTGTACTGGGGTAAGTCTGAGCGCTGACCTAGGAGATGGCCTAGGTTTATTTATTATTGTCACTTTGTGGTGTCCTAGCACAAAGGGGGTTTGGGTATACTTGCTGAGAACTTTCATGGGAAAACTTTTTCCAGCTGGGAAGTTATTTTGTCATTTTTCTCTCACCCAGTTTTGCGCCCTGCCCTGCTGCCTTGTTTCACGTGGAAAAGCAGTGTCCTTGAGAGGGAAGGACTGGTGTGATGAACCTGGGGTCCTGACTCCTGGGACTGGTCTGGGGTGGAGCTTGGAAGGGAAAGAGGTGGGCGGGGCCTCAGAGCTAACCTGGTGGCCCCCAGGAGGCCATTTTAGGAAGAGTCCCAGGAACTCAAGGGCCCTCAGGCTAGAAAAGGGACTGGACCGGTTGCATAAGGCAGGCCTGCCTCTGCACCTGAAAACCCAAATCAGAGGCTCGGTGTGATGGGGGGTCTTTCTTGATTGATCCTGTTTCTAGTTTCCTTGGTTGTTGCATAGGTTCAAATGAATGTCATGCAAATGTATTTCCCTTAAAAAAAAAAAAGGAATAAAAAAGGAACTTCCCTGGTGATCTAGTGGTTAAGGCTTCCTTGCTTCCAAAGCAGGTTGCACCGGTTTGATCCCTGGTTGGGGAACTAAGATCCAACTTGCTGTGGGCCGAGGCCCCCAAAATGGAAACAACAAAAAAGCCAGCCAGTACCTTTTTCACCCGTTAGTGTTAGTTGCTCAGGCATGTCCGACTGTCCGCAGTCCCATGGACTGTAGCCTCTGTCCATAGAATTCTGGCAAAAGTACTGGAGTGAGTTGCCATTTCCTTCTCCAAGGGATCTTCCCAGCCCAGGGATCTTCCCAACCCAGGGATTGAACCCAGGTCTCCTGCATTGAAGGCAAATTCTTTACTGTCGGAGCTACTGATGGAAATGGGGAAAGGGACCAATATTCACCAGAAGCCAACATGAGCCAAAGTTACAGCCAGTGGCATAAATGAGATGGGGCTCCGGGGGCGAGAGGGGAAGTATCCAGCAAAGGCCAGGGTCAGTAAGTAACTCAGGAAACAGCTGTATTGGATTGGCTTGAAGGGCCTTGAAGGCCGAGGTGAAGAATTTGGCTTTGGCAGTGTGGTAAGTAGGGAGCTCCTGGAGGTTTCGAGACAGTGGCTGAGGAGAGGTGGCAAGAGATGGAAGGCAGGGTGATCAGGTGAGGCAGATCTGGGTAACTGAGACCAAACAGATGGCCACCTGTCTCAGGTCTAGGAGGTTTGTGGCTCTCTTCAGTTTATCAACATCTTACTTTAAAAGCCTTGTAGTATTTTGTTGAGCAATTACAATACAATTTGCTTAGCTTTCTCCTAGTTGTTGGGTATTCACTTACTCATCTCATTTTTCAAAAAGTATTTTTTTACTTTTTGGCTGTGTTGGGTCTTGGCTGCAGCTCATCAGCTTCTCTGATCGTTGTACGTGGGCTCCAGATCTCTGGCTCGGTGGGCACTGTGGCTTCCCAGGTGGCCCCCGTGGTACAAGAACCTGTCTGCCAGCGCACGTTCAGTCAGTGCGGGAAATGAAAGAGACTCGCGTTCGACTCCCGGGTCGGAAAGTTTCCCAGAAGAGCACGGCACCCACTCCAGTATTCTTGCCTGGAGAATCCCATGGACAGAGGAGCCTGGAAGGTTGCAAAGGGTCGGATATGACCGAAGCGGCTTAGCACACATGCAGGCATGATCTTAGTTGCCTTGAGGCACGTGGGATCTCAGTTCCTCCACCACAGATCTAACCCACATCCCTTGCACAGGAAGGTGGATTCTTAACCTCTGGACCACCAGGGAAGTCGCCTCATTCATCTAATTTTTGAGCATCCAGTGCTTTGACAGGGTGTGCTTGAAGCTGGCAAACCCACCCCCTAGGTTGTCGTGAAGGGTTTGGGCTGCAGTGGTGGAAATGGTATGGGAATTGGGGTTTGGAGATAACTAGCCTGGTGATAGAGGCAAGTCATCCAAAGCCACTGAACCTCAGTTTTCTCGTCTGTGGAAACATCTGGCTTTGGTGGGGTTAAGAGAAAATAAAGGATGTGTAAAAACCCTTTTGTGAATAGCATCCAGCATTTGTAGAAGAGCAGATACCATTATCAAGATGTCTTAGCTCTGCTGCTGCTTTTTTTTTTTTGAGTGATTAATTTATTTATTTTTAAGAGGGGCCAAAGCTCCTCTGGGTCTTCGTTGCTGCGTGTGGGTTTTCTCTGTTGTGGTGCTTGGGCTTCTCACTACAGTGGCTTCTCTTGTTTCGGAGCTCAGGTTCAGCAGCTATGGCACGAGGGCTTCGTTGCCACTCAGCATGTGGGATTTTCCCAGACTAAGGATCGAACCCATGTTCTGCCTTGGCAAGCAGATTCTTAACCCCTGGACCACCAGGGAAGTCTTCAGTTCCGCTTCTAACAGCTGTGTGCCATTTGACACTCCGAGTTCCCATTTCTTTCTCTTTGTCTGAGGGAATTGAGAGGGTAGGTCATGATAATCCTAAAGGTCTCTTCCTTCTTTGGCATTTTACCATCTGAGACTTAAATGTTTTTGAAAGCAACATATTGTATATATAAATGTCTGTTTGCCCATAGTTCAGGCAGCACTGGGTTAAAGATTAGAACGCTAGATTAAGATTTTAAAAATCTTTAAAATTGTTATCTTTTCAGGTTTAAGTGGTAAGTAATATTACTTAAAAATGGTATATGTCTGCATGACTTTCTTAAATAGTTTTCTAGTTACAGTTGATTATCTGATTTTCTTCTTGTGCAGTTTGCATTTCAGATGGTCCCCAAGTTACAGCATCTTAATTTGGGGATGTTGATGTGGCAGGGATGAGTCAGTAACCTGCGGGTAGAAATACCACAGTCTCTTCTCTTGATGCTCTCTGGCTTCTAGCCAGGTTAATTAGCGAGTGTTCTGCTTTTAATTCGGGCATTGAAAAAAATCCCTTTCTATTTTTCTGGTAGTCCCTACCTGTAAACCTCTGGGTCCTACAGAAATGAGCCTCCAAAGCTGGCTGCTGTGGGGACCGGGAGACTTATTGATTATATTTTTCTTCATTCTTTTAATTAGGGTCTCAGGTGATAGGATAGATGGGAATCAGATTCTATTTGGCATGCTTTCATCTTTTTTATATATGGGAACTTTCTTACCTCCTAAAGTATGTTCTGCATTATAAAAGCAAATACACTGTGTTAATTATGGTAAGTTGAACAACGCCAAAACATAGGAAGAAAAGGTAAGTGACCTCCCCATCATTCCCACCTTCCTGCATTAGCAGTGATGGCAGGTATGTTTTCCTTACCTTTCTCTGTGTTCCTGTAGACACATGCAAATAGATACACACATCCTGAGAGGTGTTCTTCTCTCCTCCATCTTATTTAAATTTTTTCCTGATTGTCAACAATTGCAGTTAACATTTTGAAGTAAATGTCTTTGCAATTCTGAAAATTTCCTTAAATAGATTCTCTGAAGTGGAATTAATGGGATGAAGAGTTGGAGTGCAAGTGTAAGGCATGTTAACGAAGTGCTCTCCTTAACAACGTTTGTAGTGTTTGAGTGCTTGTCTTACCTTGTCCTTAGCCGCGAGTGTTAGCAGTTTTGTGTTAATCTCTGCTTGTTTGATGGCCGAAGAAACGTCTTTGGTTCTTTTAATCTGCATTGAAAAATAATCTATTTTGTCTGTGCTGGGTCTTTGCTGCTGCGCATGGACTTTCTGTAGTTGCAGTGAGCGGGGGCTCCTCTAGTTTCGGTGCTTGGGCTTCTCCTTGTGGCGGCTTCTCTTGTTGCAGAGTACGGGCTCCTCTAGGGCACATGGGCTGCGGTAGTTGTGGTATGTGGGCTCAGTAATTGTGGCCCCCAGCAATAGTTGCCCTGAGGCATGTGGAATCTTCCCGGGCCAGGGGTTGAACCCATATCTCGTGCATTGGTAGGTGAATTCTTATCTACTGGACCACCGGGGAAGTCAAATGTTTGTACTTTAAGGACCCTTACTTGCCTCTGTCTCTTCAAGGCCCTGAAAAGGTCATATGTTTTCATAAAATGTACAAGTTAAGAAATTGCCGTTGTGATCACCTGAGGGGTTTCCCAGGTGGCTCAGTGGTAAAGAATCTGCCTGCCAGTGCAGGAGACTCAGGAGACGTGGGTTCAGTTCCTGGGTGGGGAAGATCCCCAGGAGGAAATGGTAACCCACTCCAGTATTCTTCCCATGGACCGAGGAGCTCCGAGGGCTACAGTCTATAGGGTCACAAAAAGTCGGACACGACAGCATACATTCCATCACCTAAGACCACGGTCGTATTCCACCATGACCTCCCTCCTCACTGTTCCCCTTGTTCGTAGTGGCCTTCTGTTGGCTCTGGACACTGTTCCTGATCTACCTAAAGGTTCAGTTAGAATGCCTGTGCATGCTTGTGTGCTTAATCAGTCATTCTTGTAGCCCACCAGGCTCTTCTGTCCATGGAATTTTCCAGGCAAGAATATTGGCGTGGGTTGTGATTTCCTCCTCCAGGAGGTCTTCCCCATCCAAAGATCAAACCCTCATCTCCTGTGTCTCCTGCATTGCAGGCAGATCCTTTACCCACTGAGCCACTGTGGAAGCCCAGAATGCATTTAGGTTGGGTTTATCTATTTATGTAATTTGCAGTCACTTCCAGCAACAGTTAAAATATTGACAACTGTTCTGGTAGAGGGAAGGCTTTCATGACACAGAGCTGCAGGAACAGAGGGGTTAATAGTAGCACCGTATAAAGATGTCCTACGGAATCCACGCCAGAGGTACCTAAGTAAAAGAAGATATGACAGGGTTTGAAACCTTGAGTCAGAAGCTGGTCTATGGCAAATTCTTCCAATCATGGAGACAATAAAAATGGAAGCAGAGGGCTCAGTTTTTAACCAACACTTATTAAAAATGGAACTTTTCTTCTGCCAAGAGTGTACTTAATAATGCAGCGTACACAGTTATAAGTGTACACGTCAGAAGAAAAACTGAGTCATCTTTATTTTCTCTCTATAAAAATTGTGTTACAAAGCTATTATCATAAGGCCAAAGAAAGTGCCCCCAGGGACTTCCCTGGCGGTCCAGTGGCTAAGACTCTGCACTCCCCATTCAAGGGGCCGAGGTTCAGTCCCTGGTCAGGGAACTGGATCCCACATGCTACAGCTATGCTGCAGTAAAGACTGATGATTCCACATGATGAAGCTAGAACCCAGCACAGCCAAATAAGTAAATAAATGTTTTTTTTTAAGTGCCTCCAGGGACTTCCCCAGTGGCTTAGTGGTAGAGAATCCGCCTGCCAGTGTAGGAGACTGGGTTCAATCCCTGATCTGGAAAGATCCCCCATGCCGGGGAGCAGCTAAGCCCGCACGCCACTCCTGTTGAGCCTGTGCTCTCGAGCCCTCGAGCCGCAACTACTGAAGCTTGCACTCTGCAGCTGGAGACGCCGCCACAACGAGAAAGCCTGTGCACCGCAACTAAAAAGGCCGAGCAGCAACGGATACAGCGCAGACAAAAATAAATAAGTAAAATTATTTAAAAAAGAGAGGACTTTTAAAAGTGCCCCCAAAAGTAGGAAAAAAGGCTACTTTTGTGATAGAGATATTTGTGATGTGATATTTGTTAGTTGTTTAAAAATTTGCAGTGTGCTATCTTTTTTTCTCATTTTGAATGCAGTCATATTTGTGCCAATTTTATATATTTAGTATTACATTTTTTTCTTAATAAAGGCCCCCCAAGTTATATAAGTTTCAGTTCCCACAAAGCCCTTACCTGGTTTCAACCCTTAGGATGAATATTTTGCTAGAGAGTAAGCCTTACCCTTAAGAAGACCTGAGTACAGTTTGTCCCCTCTTGCTGCTGCAGTTTAGATGCTCAGTCGTGTCCAGCTCTTTGCAACCCCATGGACTGCAGCCCGCCAGGCTCCTCTGTCTGTGGGTTTCTCCAGGCAAGAATACTGGAGTGGGTTGTCACTTCCTTCTCCAGGGTGTCTTCCTGATTCAGGGATCGAACTCATGTCTCCTGCTTGGCAGGCGGATTCTTTACCACTGTGCCACCTGGAAAGCCCTTTGGAAATGAAATTTCTTGCCTTTTGCTCTGATTTTGACACGGAAATAAAACTTTTGAAGGGAGTGATTACTTTTTAAGTGATTGATTACTTGATGCAATCTGTTCATCACATTGCTTTTTTCACTTAACAGTGAAAGGCCTTTCTCTTAAAGGCCTTTCTCTCTTCATACGTGAAGAGCTCCCTTGTTCTTTTCAGCAATTACCTCTTTTTAAAAAAAAAAAAAAAAATATATATATATATTTACTTATTTGGTGGCACTGGGTCTTAGTTGTAGCATGTGGGATCTAGTTTCCTGACCAGGGATTGAACCCAGGCCTCCTGTGTTGGGAGCTCAGAGTCTTAGCCACTGGACCACCAGGGAAATCCCATAGCAATTACCTCTTATTTCTGTGTGGATACACCATTTTTATCTTACTTCTGCGCTGCGGATTGTCATGTAAGTTGATTCTAGTATTAACTGTCACAAACAAAAGTGCAGTAAGTAACCTTATACATCTGTCATTTCACAGAGTACAATTGTAGGATAAATTTTCAGAATTTGCACTCCCATGAGTGTATGAGAAAAATTTAGGTTGGAAATAATTTTTCTTTGGATTTTTTTTATTGTGGAAGAATATGTGTAAGCTAAAACTTACCATTTTAACCATTTTCAGGTGTACGGATCCATGGTATTAAGTATATCCACATTGTTGTACGGCCATTTCCAGGACTTCTTCATCTTCTCAAATGGAAACTCTGCACCCGTTAAATAGTAGCTCCCTATTGCCTGTTTTCCCCAGCCCCTGGCAGCCACCATTTTACTTTTTGTATCGATAAATTTGATTACTCGGATACCTCCTAAAAGTTGAATCATACAGTATTTGTCCTTTTGAGTCTGACTTATTTCACTTAGCACAATGTCCTCGAGGTTCACCCATGTTGGAGCGTGTGTCCGAATGGGCTTCCTTTTTTAAGGCTGAATGATATTTTGCTGTGTGTATTTGCCATGTTTTTGCTTATCCATTCAGCCATCCACAGATGCTTGGGTTGTTTCCACCTTTCGGTCATTGTGAACAGTGCTGCTACCGACATGGGTGTGCAGAAATCTGTTGAGTTCCTGTTTTCAATCCTTTTGGGTATATACCCAGAAGTTTCATCAGGTTTTGAAGGCATCACTCTGTTGTCTCTTAGCTTTCAGTATTGCAGTTGGGAAATCCCAAGTTATTCTGAATACTGATATTTTGCGTGTGACCTACTTTTGCTTCTCTAGAAATTTCTAGAATGTCCTCTCATCCTTAGCGAACTGGAATTTCTTGATGATATGCCCTGATATGAGTCTATTTTTTTTTTTTCCCCTGTTGTGCTGAGAGTTCTGGGAGTCAAGCGGGGGATGAAAACTGGGGGGAGGGGGTGGACTCGGGGGGTGGGTGGACCTCACCATTTAGTGTTATGAGCTCTGTGTCTTACTGGCAGTGTTCCCAGAGCTGAGGAGGGGAAGAGGGCTGAGGATCTGGACGTCTTCAACAGTTAGTAAACAAAGTTTCGTATAATTCCTCTTGTTGGTATCTTCTCAGTCTCCTGTGTCTAGTAGCTACCTGTCCAGGGGCCTTCTTCCACATTTTAAAAAAATTTCTGACCTGCCTAAAAATAAATTTCTGATCTGCCAGGGTCTGGGTTGCTGCCACGGTGGGCAGGGAGTAATATAGGGAAGTGATCTAAGAGTCTACTATTTTATATATTTAAGCTGCTCTTTGGAGAAGGAAATGGCAACCCACTCCAGTATTCTTGCCTGGAGAATCCTATGGACAGAGGAGCCTCGCGGGCTATAGTCCATGGGGTCGCAAAGAGTCGGACATGACTGAGCGACTAAACAGCAAGCTGCTTTTTAAGCCTTCTTCTGTGAATTTTCCCTCCTGTAGCAGCCCTCTCTCCCAACCTCGCTTTTATGCCCCCTTCTAGAGATGGCACTAATTTCTGAGTCTTTTGGGGGATTCTGTGGTATGAATCAGGTTAAATTTTCACCTTTTCTCACTGCGTACTTGGTTTTGCCATCTGATAATACTTGCCCATTTACTTTCTACCCCAACAATTTTGTTGTGTGGTCCCTTCTCCTGTTCTCCTCTTTCTTGTAGGGTTATGCTGTGTTGTTGTTTTGGGGTTTTTTTTGCCACACAGCTTGCAGGATCTTGTCCTTGACCGGGGATTGAACCCATGCCCTCGGCAGTGAAAGTGCAGAGTTCTAACCACTGGACCACCAAGGAACTCCTGGTTTCTTCATTTTGAAAGTAGAGTTTCAAGAGGGAGTCTAGCGGCATACCTGGGATAAATCCACCATCTTCAAATAATTTTTTCCCAAACGTCTCCCCAGTGGTCCCAATGCCCTGTGTTGACTAGTCTACCTTTCTGCCTCTGGGTTGAGATGCTGCCTTTGTCCTGCACCAAATATAAAGTCCCATTTGTCTGTGGATCCTATTCCGGAGCTTTTTCTTCTGTTTCACCAGATCTTTTATTTATTTATTTTTTAAACTTGAAAGCAGTAGAGTTTTTGTGGGATGGAAAAAGAGTTCTTTGAGTTATTTATTTTGTTTTCCAAAAGCATTGTCATTCTTTTTTTTTTTTTCCCCCCCTTGGTCACACCGTGCAGCATTTGGGATCTTAGTTCCCTGACTAGGGATCGAACCCACGCCCCCTTCAGTGGAAGCATGGAATCCTAACCACTGGACCGCCAGGGAAGTCCCTCAACAGACCTTTATTAGCACATTCTACATGTCAGGCTCTGATCTAGGCACTGGAGGTAAAAGCAGTGTGTAAAGTAAAGCCTCTGCCTCATGGAAGTTACATTCTAGTGAAGGGAGACGGGAAATAAATAATGTCAGAGAGTGATAAGTATTAGGAAGAAAAATAGTAAGACAGAGAGTAAGATGTTGAGCTACATACCAACAGAGAAGTGATGATGAGTGGAGTCTTTAATAAAGTGGAAACTCCAGCCAGGCTTGGATCTACAGAGAGGGGGATGTTGTGGGCAGAGGAAATACCCAGAGCAAAGACCCTGAGACAGAAACGAGCTGGGTGAGTTGGAAGAATAGTGAGACCAGTGTGTCTGGAGCCCTGCAGGCAAAGGGGAAAGTGGTACCTCGGCCTAGATTTCGCAGGGCCCGCCAGACCATGGCAAAAAGTGTGTGTTTTTCCCCCACACCCAATGAGAAGTCACTGGAGTGTTGAGAGCAGAAGGGAGATGTGCATGTCATTACGTGTTAAAAACAAGGCTGTGGTGGTTGTGTAGAGAACAGACCACGGGAGGAGGCAGGAGTAGCAAGCAACGCTTCGGCTGTTGTCAGTGAGAGAGAGTCGTAACTTGGACTAACCAGGGGTGCGGTGGACAGGGTGAGAAGCTTCTGGAATGTATTTGGAAGGTAGAGGCAGCCAAACAGATGGGCTGAGGGACTGATGTGAATGGAAAGGAAAAGAGTGACCTGATCAACTAGAGGAGTGATAGTGATTAATTGAGCTTGACCAGGTACTTGACACAAATCCTTTCGTTTACTTTTCGTAACCCTTTCAGAAAATGATGTCTTTGAAGAGCAGAGGAAATGGAGGCTCAGGTAGTTTAACTAACCTGCCTGTGATGACACTCTGGTCATTGGAAGAGCTAGGATTTTATTTCTGTAAGGTCAGTAGTAAAATCCCCTTCTCTTTCTGATTCTAGTAATTTTGTGACTTTTCCTTTTTCGTCTTGGTCAGCTTAGCTGAGGGTTTGTCAATTTTTACAATCTTTTCAAAGAACCTACTTTCGGTTTTGTTAATTTTCTCCAATGTTTTTCTAGTCTCTTTCATTAATTTCTGCTCTAACCTTTATTTCTTTTCTCCTGTTTGATTTAGGTTCCATTTTCTCCTCTTTCCCTCTAGAAGGTCAGGTTATTTATTTGAAATCTTTCTTCTTTCTTTTTGACCATGCTGTACGGCTTGCAGGATCTTAGTTCCCCAACCAGGGATGGAATCCTCACCTTCAGCAGTGAAAGCCTGGGCCAGCTTTCCATATAGGAAATGGGAATAGCAACACTGTCTCCTCCGAAGGCTACTATGAGAGATAAAATAATGAAATGCTTATGCTGTGCTCTGCCTAATGCTTGGCAAATAGGGAAAGAACACACACAAAAATCTTCATTTTCTTACATTACATGACTTCTTACAGTTTTCTTTTTATTTATTTGCTTATTTACTTATTCGGCTGCCTCGGGCCTTAGTTGTGGCACCCAGGATCTTCACTGCATCACGTGGGATCTTTCCTTGTGGTGCACGGACTCGCTAGTTGCAGCATCTGGGTTTAGTTGCCTGGCTGCAGGTGGAATCTTAGTCCCCAACCAGGGATTGAACCTGTATCTCCTGCATTGCAGGGTGGATTCTTAACCACTGCACCACCAGGGAAGTCCCGATTTCTTAAAATTTTCTAACCTGTATTTCACAAATCATTGTGTGTCTATGTTTCATATGGGAAAGGCTGTAGTAAATCAGTAGCAGGAGAGTACTTATTTTTTGCATGGGATAGCAAGAAGCTTCACAGAGCAATCTGTCATTTTTGGGAGGGAGCCAAGTATATGTCCACACAAAAACTTGTACGTGAATGTTCATCACAGCCTTATTCATAGTAGCCTCAAATTGTAAGCAACTCAAATGTTTATCAATTGGTGAAAGGCTAAATAAATTGTGTTATAGATCCTTACAGTGGAATGCTACTTTTCAGCATTGAAAAGGAACTGCAGGGACATGCAGTAACAAAGAAATCTCAAAACTATGCCATGTGAAAGGAGCCAGTATTGTACGGTCTATTCGTTTAAAATTCTAGAAAAGGAAAGAAATCTATAAAAAAGTGGATTAATGGTTGTGTGAACTAAGAGGGCTCAGCCAAAAAGGGGAATGAGCAGACATTTGCCAAAATTAATTTCATTTTTGCACTTAAAATGGATAAGTTTTATTTAAAACAAAAACAGGACTTCCTTGGTGGTCCAGTGATTGAGAATCTGCCTGTTAATGCAGGGGACACGGGTTCGATCCCTGGTCCTGGAAGATCCCACATGCCACAGAGCAACTAAGCCTGTGCGGCACGTAGAGAGTAGTCCTTGCTTGCCCCAACTAGAGAAAGCCCTCCTGAAGCAATGATGACCTAGTGCAGCCAAAAATAAGTAACTAAAAAACAAAAACAAAAAACTGTGGGACACAGACAAAGCAGTAGTAAAGAGAAACAAGTGCAACAGCAATGAACGGTTAAATTTAATCATACATTAAATTTAGTTGATCAGTAGCTTACATACACAGTGAAACTATGTTCTTTTTTCACTGGGTTGTAAATTCACTTTCCCATCATCCCAGTCGGGGACATTTTACAGCTCAGCATCTGGATAAACAAAATCCTTCGGGACCCAAGTGCTCAGTGGTAGAGAACCCACCTCCCAGCATAGGAGATGCAGGTTCGATCCCTGGGTTGAGAAGATCCCCTGGAGAAGGAAATGGCAACCCACTCCAGTATTCTTCCCTGGAAAATCCCATGGACAGACGAGCCTAGCAGGCTACAATTCATGGGGATGCAAAGAATCGGACACGACTTGGCGACTAAACAACAACCTTGTGCCTCACAGTTTCCCTTTAGTGGAAGTAAATTCCTTTTATTTCTTTCTTTTTGGCTGCACTGGGTCTTTGTTGCTGCCCACAGGCTTTCTCTAGTTGGCAGTAAGCGGGGCTACTCTTTGAGGTGCCAGGCTTCTCATCGCGATGGCTTCTCTTGTTGCAAAACAGAAGCTCTGGGCCATGGGCTTAGCTGCCCTGCAGCATCTGGGATCTTGCCGGATCAGATATAGAGTCAATATCCCCTTCACTGGCAGATGGATTCTTTACCCCTGGACCACCAGAGAAGTCCCATGAATTCCTTTCTTAAGGGAGAATTTATATCTGACTTATATTTCTTTCTCAAAAATGAGGTGTGCTTATATGCCGTGTCTGTAAGTCTCTGTCCTGAAACATTCCAGAGGAAGAACGAACGTGCTGGAGGGTTTTGCCCAGGGCAGTGACATGGTCCCATGTATTAATACAACTGGAAACTGCCCCGTGGATGGAGGAGAGGCACATTCGGGGAGGATCAGAAAGGCCGGTTAAGAGGCTCAGTGCGGTTGATGGATCTGTATGCTTCAGTGTATGCATTTTTCTATACGTACGTTTTGTGCTTGCATGCAGTCACTTCAGTTGTGTCCGACTCTGTGCGACCCTATGGACTGCAGCTCACCAGGCTCTTCTGTCCATGGGATTCTCCAGGGAAGAATACTGGAAAGGGTTGCCATTCCCTTCTCCAGGGGATCTGCCCCACCCAGGGATCGAACCCATGTCTTACATCTCTTGCATTGGTAGGCGGGTTCTTTACCACTAGCACCATCTGGGAAGCCCCATATATAAGTTATACTTCATTTTTTAAAACATGAGAACAAAGAAATGTCTGAGTAGTCCACTTGAAGTCCAGCGGTCAGAGGAAGGGGCTCCAGGTCAGTCTGACAGTCAGAGGGACAAGTCTAGGGCCTTGCATGGGATTCTGGTTATAGAACTGACAGGGTTTGAGGGGAGACTGAGAAGCCGAGAGGAGGCACTGAGGAGGGCGGGAGACCGGGAGAGGAAGCCAAGTCACTGCGGCTCTGACGATGAGCGTCTCTGCGTGGGGCTCGGGCTCTGACCGAGTGAATAAACTTTCTGTGTAGCTCTGGGATTCTGCGGGGATGGGCAGTCAAGAAATGACCCCATCCTCAAGTGTCATGGTTCAGTGGGGAAAGACGACAGCCTTCCTGGACCAGTGGGGGACGGCATGGAGGGCCTGTGGCGGAGGAAAGAGACATCGCTTCATGACCCTTCCTTCACATGCTCGCCTTACCTGTCCCCCCCAGATCTGAGGGTGGGGATTAGTAACCAAGTGACAAAGCTCTCAGCCACCTAGGTGTGATGTGAATTCTAGTTCTGAAATTCCCTGGCTGTGTGACCTTGAACAGGTTGCTTAACCTTTTTGAGTCTCGATTTCCTCACTTGCAAAATGAGGATAATATCCTATTTGCTCACATAGGACTTTGGCTGCTTCTTCCCCTTCCTGAAAAAATGCATTTCCAGTTTCCCTGCCGCCTTGTACAATGTCCATATTGTAGATGGACAGAAACGGTGCAAAGGGTGGTTCTTGGGTACCTGGGTGAAGAATTCCTTTATTTCAAAGCTCCTGAGGGCTCCATGGGCCCGGGGCCACCAGTCCCTTGAGCATCTTAGAACAGAAGCCGCTCTGAGGAGGCAGCAGGCAGTGGAGGAAAGCCGAGGGGCTGGGATTGGAACTCTCTGGGTGACCTTGGGCGACCCCTAGTGGGAAAGTATAGCAACACACAGCATGGCTGCAAGGATGCGTTTTGCAGCTTTCTTACAGATTTTGCTGATAATATATGCTTTTGGTGCAGGTACCAGGTAGAAATTCCTTCAGTATAATTTTGCATTGTAGCTTGCTTTTTATTCAGTTGTATGCAGCCCTGATGTCCTCAGTTATGCCATTGTATGTATGGAAGGGGGTTTCCTTTACTGGCAAATTTGGTAAATCTTGTTATTTATGTCATTGTTTTCCTTAGCTTTTACGGTTGTCATCCTTTCCAGAGCTTATGAATTCCTACTAGAATCCTCTAAAATATATTTACGTAACAAAGGTGTTTTCTATAAAAGGACTTTAAGATCACATTCAACGCATGTATTTTAAGATTCATTTTATGGTGTTTTTAAGATTCATTTTACAGTATTTTAAGATTCATTTTATGTAATAACTTAAAAGTAGCACTTTCTATGTACCAGGCATTGTTCTATGTATAACTATAAGTTTATTTAATCCTCATAACAACTCTATGAGGTGCATATAATTATCCTCATTTTTTTTTGGCCGCGATGCAAGGTATGCAGGATCTTAGTTTCTCAACCAGGAATAGAACCCATGCCTGCTGCATTGGGAGCTCAGTCTTAACCACTAGACTGCCAAGGAAGTCCCTGTTATCCCCATTTTATAGTAGAGAAACTGAGCCTTAGAGAGGATAGATAACATGCTCGAGTTCATGCCGTTAATAAATGGCAGAACCAGGATTGCAACGTAATTTTGTCCTCTTTAATTATTCCATTGTATTACCTATGACCTGAAAATTGTTTCTCCATAGCTTTCCATGTGAAATTGGGGTGCATCTTTTGTATCTTATAAACTAATAAATACAGTAATAATAGGTTAACCAACTTAACCTCTAGTTTGAGCCTTGGTTCTTCGCAGTGACCTTGGATCCCCTAGACCTCATCTATAAAATGGGGGCAGGCATGTGAAGAATTATATGAATTTTTTTTTAACTTAAAAAAATTTTGGCTGTGCTGGGTCTTTGTTGCTGTGTGTAGGCTTTCTCCTTGTGGCGAGTGGGGACTACTCTTCATTGCGGTGTGCTGGCTTCTCATTGTGGTGGCTTCTTTTGTTGCAGAGCATGGGCTGTACCCTCGAAAGCTCTAGAACATAGGCTCAGTAGTTGTGCTTGGGCTCAGTTGCCTTCGGCATGTGGAATCTTTCCAAACCAGGGATCAAACCCGTGTCCCTTGCATTGGCAAGTCTCTTAACCAGTGAATTGCCAGGGAAGTTCCCTTATGCTGGTTTTAAAATCTTATGCACGTTTAAAAATTACATTTAAGTTATTAGGTTTTAGCACTCATTCTGTTTCTCCTTTCCCCACCCCACACATTGTTTTTTCCTCCCCACAACCAGGGATTGAACCTGGGCCATGACAGTGAAAGGACCAACTCCTAACCACTAGGCCTCCAGGGAACTCCCCCCAGACATTGTTTTTAATATGTCTGTGTTGATGTAGGAACGTTGATTCATTGCATTGGAATGCTGCATGGTATTCCACAGCATGCGTCTGTCACATTTCTTATTCCTTCTCCCTGTGACAGGTTATGGGGCCTGCTGCCATCCGTGCTGGGGCAGTGGACATGGTGTCCTGCCCCTCTGGGTTTGCCCCCGGTTTCTCTGGGAGATGTCTCCAGCTGTGGACTTGCTGAGCCAGAGGGGCTTCACTTGTTCATAAATGCTGGCAAATGCTATCCTGCATGGGGGACCAGCCTGTCCCCATCAGCCAGCGTATGGGGATTCCCCCTCCTCTCCATCTTCGCCAGTGTTTGGTGGTATTATCTGTCTCTGATTGGCAATCTGACGAGTATAAAGTGGCCTCTTGTTTTTGCTTTCTGAACACCAGTGAGGTTGATAGATTGTTCTTGTTGGTTGAAATTCCTTTTTGTGAGTCTCCTGTTTATACACTTTGCTCATTTGTCTATTCGATTCTACAACTTTTTCTTTTATATTTTAGTTAGTAATTCCTTGTTTCATTTTAATACAGTAAAAATTCACCCTTTCTAAAAAATGAGTTTTACTAACACAACATTGTAAGTCAACTGTAGTCCAGTATAAAACAAAAATTTTTTTTAATTAAAAAATGAGTTTTAGGGAATTCCTTGGCATTCCAGTGATTAGGACTCTGCTTTCACTGCCAACGACATGGGTTGGGAAACTGAGATGCAGCCAATAAAATAAAACCTGTTTATTAAGTGTTTGTATTTCTTCTGAGATTTTTTTTTTTCATATTATTTCCCCATTTTTTCCTACTGACATGTCTTTTTTTTTTTTTTTGCTTGTAGGGACCTTAGTTCCCTGATGCGGGGTTGAACCCTGGTCCTGGTAGTGAAAGTGCCTAAGAGTCCTAACCATTGGACCACCAGAGAATCCCCTTTTTCTTATTGAATGATTAAAGTTCTTTTTATAGGATAGTGTTATTAACTTAAAAAAATTAATCATGCTACAAATATCTTCTCCCCCTCTGTACTTGGTTTTAATTTTGCTTACAGTTTCTTTAGCCTTACAGAAGCATTCAATCTTCATCATTTAAATCCACTGCTCTTTGTATGCATGCGCATGCGTGTGTCTCTTCTGAGTTTTGTGCCAAACATTGAAACTTTTGGGGTCCTTTGCTATTACCTCTAAATGTTGCCTGTAAGAAATAAAACATTAGCTGCTGCTGCTGCTGCTTTTCTAAAAGGCTGCTGTGAGATGGTAATAAATGATCGAGTGAAAAATTCGCCTTCCTTTTGGGTCCTACATCTGTGCCACACGCATTCCTGTTCCCGGACTTTTGTTCAGATTGTCTCCATTCCTTGTAGTACCCTCTTCCTTAGTGCTTTCTGCAGCTTCCTCCTGGTCCTGCCCTTCCACGCACAGAATGCTTCCCTCTTCCCATCGCCTGGGTTCCCTCAGCCCCTGGCCAGCTCTGAAACCAGTGAGGCTGCACTGGCTCCATCCTGCCACCCCTGGGTGTGAATCTTTCTCTCTGGGGTGGAGGGGGAGTGGGGAGGTTTGTTCCTGACCCCACGTCCTCGCCTTCTTCCAGGAAGGCCTTTGGTACCACGGTGGCTCCGCCGAGAGACCTGGACCCTGGTGTCAGGCACGCGTGGCCAGTGCTCTGGGAGTCCCAGGAATTGATCACAGTGAGTGGTAACCAGGCTCAGTATCAGGTTGGGATGAGGGTCAGAGTCAAGGGTATAATGTGGTTGGGACGGAGTCTGGGGAGCATTTGGAACTCGTTTGGGGCTGGCTCCATCTAAAGTTGACCTCAGGGATTTGTGGGGCTCAGTTTGGAGGCAAGAGAAGGGCTTTCGTGGCTTTCTGCTGGAAAGGGCTGGCCACCGATGTTGGGGCAGTGGCCTGGGGGAGGTTCGGCTTCCTGGGCCAGTGCAGGGTCCCCTGAGTGCTCGGTGCTCCTTTGGCCCTGACCTCACACCTTTGACCCAAGCTGGGTCTAGCACCTGCTCGCTGCTGGGTGCAGATGGGATGTGTCCAGTCCTGGCCTGAGCCCCTAGAAGGTCCAGAGGCCAGGGACCAGCTCTCCCTCTGCCCCAGACCCACTGGGTGACCTCAGGCGGCCCCTGTCCCTGTGGACTCTGTTCATTCAACCAGTATCTCCCTTCCCCTTAGGCTCCAGGCGCTGTCATCAGAGTCCCCACTGTTAATGGGGATCCCAGTCCTGCCAGTCTCTTGGGATGGGAAAAGCTGTGGCTTGCTGTGCCACTGGTCACGTGGCAGAACTGACCCTCCAGCGGCGGAGGGCACACCCGCTAGCTGCCCGTGGGGAATCCATTCTTTCTCACCTGCTTCCCCGCCCGAAGGGGAAGAACCCTCCTCACGGCTCCCAAAGCCTCCCTGCTCTTCTAGGACCACCTGGCTTCCCAGGAGCATTGAGGGGACCCTGGAGACCCAGGTGCTAGTCCTGAAGGCTGTGACCTTGACCCCTGCTCTCTCAGAGCCCCAGAAGCCCCACTGGGATTTGCTGTGGTGGGTCCTGCCCGTTCCCTCCCAGGAGAGCTTTTCCGCTCAGGACCTGCCTGCTCCCCCGCACTGGTCTGGTCTCAGCTGAGCCTTCCCTGGGCTGGGGGTCCGAGGGTGGAGGGGCAGCCACTGGGGAAGGAGAGGGAGGGAGGTGTTTGGGGCCTCAGGGCACCTTTATTTCACCCCAACCACAGACATACACACCCAAAACAGTGCTCCACCTTCTATTAGAGGCTCTGCCTCCCCAAGACGAATGTCCGCCCTCTTGCATCTTCCAGAGCACACTCCCGGTGGGGTGGGGTGTGTTCTCGTGGCCGGGCAGGGTGGAAGGGAGGGGAATGGCACCCTGTCCTCTGAGAGGGGACCTCGGTGAGATTCATGTGTTTGTGGCAGTGGCTGGGGAAGGGCTTGCAGGGGGGTGCAAGTGTCATGGTGTCCCAGACCAGGACACAGGGCCCTTCCTGTGGGGAGCAGCCAGAAGCGGGCAGGCAACAGCCGAGGCCGGGGCTCTCCTAGGAGCCTCCCCTTGGGGCCTCCTGGCCCAGCTCCCAAGAAGATGGGGTTTCCTCGGAGGGTCACCAGCCTCCCGTTGGCTATGCCCCAGGCCTGGTACGGTGCTCAGCCTGTTTCCTTCACTCGGAGCTGGGCCCCCGGCCCCTCAGAGGGAGAGTCCTCTGAGAGGGGGCTCTGGGCTCGTGGGCATGGAGCCGGTGCAGACGGTGTACGTGGGAGCAGGTGGCTGGGACAGGGGCCTGGGTAGGGGGCGCTGGGATGGCCTAGTCGTCCTTGTCCTTGGCGCCATGTTTGAGGATGCGGGTGAACTCCACGTAGTTGAAGTTGCCTTTCTTATCAATGGGCGCCTCTCGGTACATCTCGTCCACCTCCTCATCTGTGAAGCGGTCGCCCATGGTGGTGAGCAGCTCCCGAAGGTGGTCCTCATGGATGAAACCTGGGGGGGGGGGGGGGGAGGCGCAGGGCCAGGGCCTTGAGACACACCTCACACCCCCTACCCGGGGCCCCCACCAGGACTCGCAGACCTAGAGGGTGGGGGGCCGGGGAAAGACACAGCCCTGGTGTCTGTTCAGTTCGAGGTCACCAGGCCCAGCGGGAACAGTTCTGCAGTGGGGCTTTCTGCGAAGTGTTTCTGTGGGGGTGAGTGGGGGGCCCTGGGGCTGTGGGGGTGGGGAGGCCCTGCCTGGGGCTGTGAGGGTTGGGGTGCCCTGCTTGGGGCTGTGGGGGTGCTGACTGTGCTGCTTGAAGAACCTGGGCCCCAGAGTACCACTGCCTGCGTCTGAATGCTCATCTCTTCTTTCTAGCTGTGTGACCTTGGGCAAGTTACTTAACCTTTCTTTGCCTGTTTGATCTGGAAAATGGGGAGGAAAACATGCCAATCTAGTTAGGGAGCTGTGACACAGTCAGGAAAAGGTTCTGAACGTGCTTAGGCCTGTGGTGTGCCTCTGGTCCCTGAGAAACCACTGAAGCAGCTACTGCCGGCGGCGTCCCTGGGAGACAGCCACAAGCCCTTTGGAGAACCTGAGGGTGGGGCTGGTTTCTATAACCTTTCAGCCCGCCGGCCTGAAATGGTTTGGTTTCTGGAAGGGTCAAAAGCAGAAGCCAGTGCATTGGGCCAGTAGGAGAGCTAAGAAGTGGGAAGGCTTGGGGGATGTGGTCTGTTTCAGTTTAGCCTTTGGGGGGGAACAACAAGGAAGCAGCTTTTATCGTTCTGGTGGCAGAAATAGGTGGGCAGGTGATCTCTCCGGTCCTTTGGGGGCAGAGGGGGGCCCTGAGGTGCCAGCGCAGCCGGGTGGCACTTGCACACACGGGGTGCCCGGGCAAGGTGCGCGACCCCAGCCCCATCCAGGCCTCTGCCCCGAGGCTGCCGACTGACCTGAGGCCTCCTCGTCGAAGCAGGCGAAGGCGTTGCGGATCACGTCCTCGGGGTCTGTGCCGTTCAGCTTCTCCCCAAACATGGTGAGGAACATGGTGAAGTTGATGGGCCCCGGGGCCTCGCTCATCATGCCTTCCAGGTACTCGTCCGTGGGGTTCTTCCCTGTGGGGAAGGGCCGTCCGTGCCTGCTGTCACCTCCCGTCCCCTCCCTGCATAGCCCCATAGACAGGAGACAGTACGTTTAGTAAACGGTTGAGAAGTGTGAAAGGGTAGTCACTCGGTCGTGTCCAACTCTGCGACCCCATGGACTGTAGCCCACCCGGCTCCTCTCTCCATGGAATTTTCCAGGCAAGAATACTGGAGTGAATAGCCATGCCCTTCTCCAGGGGATCTTTCCCACGCAGAGATCGAACCCATGTATCCTGCATTGCAAGCACCATCCGAGCCACCAGGGAAGCCCTGGTGTTAGTAAACTAGAGCTGACTAGTTAACTTGAAAGTGAAGTCGCTCAGTCGTGTCCAACTCTTTGCGAACCCATGGACTGTAGCCTACCAGGCTCCTGCGTCCATGGGATTCTCCAGGTAAGAATACTGGAGTGGGTTGCCATTTCCTTCTCCAGGGTATCTTCCCAACCCAGGGATCGAACCCAGGTCTCCCGCATTGCAGGCAGACGCTTTAACCTCTGAGCCACTGTAAGCTGTACAGCCTCTCTCTGGGACTGCCGGCTCTGACAGCTCCGTCCCACTGATCATCACCGCCCACTCCCCTGGTGGCCTCCACCAGTTTCCTCCTCGGGTCTGGGGTCTGGATATCCGCTGTGGGTCCCGCTGTCTAAGGTGTAAGAGCCCCCGTCTGCGGATTGCTTCCTGCCTTTGGCACTCCGTGTGCCTTATGGCTTAAGTGTCACCACCTCAGCCTTCTTACCCCCCTCACCAATGTGGGACCTGAGGCTCTGAGGTGAGGTGCCTTGTCCTCGGTCACACAGCAAGTGAGGAGTGGAGCCAGCATTTGAAGCCAGGCAGCCGGACCCCAGACCCCAGGCTCAGTTTCGAAAGTAGTTAAACCAGTGAGCTTTGGTGTCACACAGGCTAAGGTCTGAATCCCAGCTCGGTGCCTGCTTTCCCAGTCCCTGAGGAGAGCTGCGAAGATGAGGAAGGCAATGGCTGTAAAATGCACAGAACAGTGACTGGCACGGCCCTATGGACTCAAATCAGCTGCTGGGTTCAAATCCCAGCTCTGACACTTTGTAGCTGTGTGACGTCAGGCAGATTACTTAACCTCTCTGAGCCTCTGTTTCCTCATTTATAAAGTGAGAATGATAATCACATCCACCTTTGAGATTTAAGATAATACCTGCAGAGCTGCCACTTGCTATTGCTGTTTTATTGTTTGCTGCTCTTGTTTTTAAACCTGAGGATGATGGTCCTGATTCTTGTTTTCGGCTGTGCCACATGACCCACAAGGTCTTAGTTCCCCTATCAGGGATCAAACTCACGCTCCTTGCAGGGGAAGCGCGGAGTCCTAACCACTGGACTGCCGGGGAATTCCCAGAGGGTGATGTTCTTAACCAGAGGCCCTGACTGACCTGTGGACCCACTGACTTGAGCCACAAACAGGAGTGGGGTTTTCCTGGGTAGACGTACAGTGTAGTCTCTGGGGTTGAGAGCCCAGGTGTGTGTGCTCAGTTGCTTAGCTGCATCCGACTCTCTGCGATCCCAGGGACTTGTAGCCCACCAGGCTCCTCTGTCCATGGAGGCAAGAAAATACTGGCGCGGGTTGTCATTTCCTCCTCCAGGGGATCTTCCCGACTCGGGGGCCGAACCTGCGTCTCCTGCATTGGCAGGAGGGTTCTTGGCCACTGCGCCACCTGGGAAGCCCGGGAGTCTTTTGTCTCCCTGTCTCCTCTGAGCCCCACACTCGGCTGTGTCCCCGTGGGATGGCTGGTGCCTGAAGAGCTGTGACTGCAGGACACACAGCTCCTCTCCTGCCCAGGCCTCAGTCTTCCTTCGGGCCCCTGACCTTCCCAGGGAGGAGCCTCCAGTGAGTCTGCCCTGACGGTGGGGACCGTGTCCAGGGTCCGCCCTCCTGGTCCTGCGAGGTCGTTTGCTGCTCTCACCAGGCCCCCTGGGATGCACACACGGCCACGGGCCAGAGTGGGGCTGCCCAGTGAGGGGCGGTGCCAGGGCCTGACTCGGGCCTGACTGCCATGGGCTGCCTCCTCTGCTGCCCGAGACCACCCACCCCCGGCCAGGGTCTGACCCAGACGCTTTCACCTGGATGAAGGGGGCGCCAGGGACTCAGGGGGATTTTCTGTGGCCAGGGCACGAGGAGGGATGTGGAGGCAGACCACCTTGGTGTCTGGTGGGCTGGCGTCTGGAAGCCTGGCCTCTGGGCCTCAGTTTCCCCACCTGGGCTATGGTGCAAGGTGCTAGATTCCTGAGGCCTTTCAGCTCTGAGATTCTGAGTCTGGGGAAGTCACTGGAGTCCGCCTCTCAGAGTCTGACACAGGTGACCTCTGAGGGAGCAAGGAGGTGCCCTGGCCTCCACTCTAGGCCTCAGTTTCCCCATCTATACAATGGAAAGTCTGTGCAGTTTTGTAGCTGCTGATCCTTTTCCTTCAGTGAAGTGGTACCAGGCAGTTGAAACCACAGGTCTGCCTGAGGCAGGAGTGGGCCTGTCTGGGTTCAAGTCCAGTGCCGAACTGCTCTGTGCCTCAGTTTTCCTGTCTGTTAAATGGACAAAGAGATGGCAGCTCCTCTCCAGGCTGGGCGCCTCAATCAGTACACGGGAAGTGTTCCCTGACGGATGGGTCACCCCACCGCCTGCTCCAGCTGCAGCCCTCGTGGGACCACACAGCCCCCTGGCCCTGCCTCTGCTCACCCATTGAGGCCAGCATGTCATGCAGGTCCTCCTTGTCGATGAAGCCGTCTCGGTTCTGGTCGATCATGTTGAAGGCCTCCTTAAACTCCTGGATCTGGGACTGGTCAAACATCGCGAACACATTGGACGTGGCCCTCTGTGGCCGCTTCTTGGTGGTCTTGGCCTTGGCTCGTTTACTGGACATCTTGGCTGCAGGCGTGTGGGGCTTTCCTGTAGGCAGAGGGTGCAGATGGGAGAGCCAGTGATCCTGGGCCAGAGAAGTTTCTGGCCTACCCCCACCCCACTCGGCTGTTGGTGCCTGGGCCTGGCCTTTGTGCTCCTTATAGGCTGGGGGCTCCTGCCACCCGGCTCATCACAGAAGCAGCCAGTGTTGGCCCTGTGACATGATCTGAAACAACTTCCTCTACCTCTCCGAAGTGTTTCCTCATCTGGAATGGGATAGGAGTGCCCAGCCAAAGGGATCCATTGACTTGTGCCCGAAAAGCCCCTGGCATGGTGCCCGGCCCAGAGGAAGCTATTTCTGCTGTCATGGTTTGGGTAGACACTTAGGATTGGGTTCGGTGCCAACCATTTCCGTGCTTTATCTCCCTTAATCCTCAAGAGCATTCACACCATCCATCTCTCTCCCAGTGACAAGGTGGGCAGCCTTGGGAGAGGCTCCGAAGCTCCCTGCCCCCAGCAGCAGGAAGGAGCCGGGTCAGCCCTGCATTCCTGACATTCCTCCTCCTCCTCTGGAGGTTCTGAAGGCCAGCGCTCTGGGCAGCCTCCCTTCCCCCCACCTGTCCCCACGTGACCAGCCCCTTGGTGGGGGGACAGACCTGATTTGGGTCCTGCTCTTTGTTCTCCCTCTTCAGTGCTTATAGAAGCATAAAGCTCCCCCAGACTGAGCACCCCAGCTTCCTGTCACCTTTGTTTAGGCCTGGCCTCCAAACCTCCAGCCAGTCTCACCCATTGCACGCAGACCGCAGTACTTCACCCTGAAGCCCTTGAGGGTTCCTGCCAAACTCCTCTCCCATCAGGCCTGGCACGGAAGGAGGCCCTCTGAGCCTCTCCTACCCTGCTCTCTGACTGGCCTTGTCATCCCTCTTGCAGCTGTGATCCTGCCCAGCTGGACCTCTGGCTGCTCCCAGGTACCCCCAGACTGTCCTTCTTGGTTCTCCCCCTGGAACACCCTTCCTTCTAGAGCCCAGTTCTTCAGACAACCCTCGGGGAGCAGACCCCCACTCTGGCTTTGACAGCAAGCACTTAGTCTCTCTCCATCACAATCAGTCAGGGCTGGTGTAAGCACCCTGAATTATACCCAAGCCCATGGTGACACTCAGAGATGCTTGTTTAATGAATGACTATGAAGGCAGCTGCAGCCAGTCTACTGACCCCACTGTACAGATGGGGAAACTGAGGCACAACAAGGTGCTCTTTCCCTGAACTCTTCTCATAGCTTCTGGGGACTGTTCTTCTGGGGCAGTTTGGGGCCCCAGGGCTGCTGCCCCTCTTTCCTCTGTCCTGAGTCTCGTGGTTGAGGATCTGCAAGAAGCCTTAAGTGCTCCTCCATCTATCTTCCAGGCCTTTATCCCATGACCTTGTTCAAGCTGTTCTGGATCTCTGGCCTTTGAGATCTTAAACCCTGAGCTGGGACCCTGGCCAGCCCCAGCCTCTCCCCACAGGCACAACTGCCTATAGTTATAGACTGTCCCCCTGGACCCACACACCTGGCCTTCAGTGCTTCTCGTGTGGTTCAAGGTGGGTAGACAAAAGCCTTTCCCTTTTGGGAAAGGGTAGGGGGTGGGACGGTGCTGTCGGCAGGGAGTGCCACCCTCTCCTGTATGAGTGCTTCGAGGCGCCCGGTTCTTCCCCGGGCCGGGTGTTCTCTGGGAACTTTAACTCATGACGCCCACAGCAGGCAGCTGAGAAGTCCACCGTGCCCAGCAGAGACTGTCACGGTCCCCATCAGTCACGCCACCCCCATCTGTACAGTTCTAGAGCAGACGTGGCAGGAGTGGCCGAGAGCCCACCCACTGCTCTGATTCTGCCTTAGCTTCCCTGTCTCCGTGGCCGCCCCATCCCCACCCTCTTCTTTTGAGGGACTGTGACAGGGCTTGGAGCACTGAACTTCACAGTTTGTCCATCCCAGCAACCTTGGGGAGCAGGGTGGGGAAAATGGGGTGCCCTCACTGTGCAATTAAAAGAACTGGTGTGCCCATAAGAGGGAGGGAGTCCAACTGGAAGCTGGGACCCCTGGGCTAGGCTTAGGTCTGGGGGTGGCAGATGGCTTCTCCTGGTGGGCCGATGGCAGTTGAGGGGCACTGTTGTGACCAGAGGCAATTTGTAGGCTTGATTGAGGAACTGGGGTCAGAGCCAGGCTGAGCTCTTAAGACCTGGAGCCATCGCTGCCTCCTCCTGGGGGTCCTACACACCAGGGATCAGATATAACTGGTCCTTGGCCTGCTACAGCTAGGTGCCACCTCCCCGCTTCTGATCCCGAAACCCCACTGTAACAGCACAGACACAGCCTGTGTTCCCCATTACGTCAGGGTCTCTCTGGCTGGCAGTGCCAGCTGCCTTGTTGGTAAACTCGCCTCCCTTGAAGGGGGAGTTACCTGACTCTTTCCCGAAGCAGCCAGAGCAGCTGCAGGGCTGGGGAGGAGCGGGGACCGCTTCCTGCAGCCCAGGGCCTTGTCAGGCCAGCGGGTACAGGGGATGAGCCCTAAGGCCCTCGGCCAAGCTTCCCCACCCAGCAGGCCTAGGGGGGCAGTGGACTCAGAGCAGGGAAGCCCCGGGATGGCACTCAGCGTTGGTGTGATGGCGGAGACAAGTTACCCCAGGCTCCATCCCTCTTTCCTGCCCCAGGAGATAGGGGAGGGGTCAGGGATGCTCCGCGGGAGCCTGGTAGGGCTGTTTCCCGTCTGTGACACAGACGGGTCCTCTAGAGCAGGGAATGCCAGCGACCCCACGCCCCTCCCGGGGTCGGAGTCTCTAACTTCACAGCGAAGGGGCAGGGCCTGAACAGTCTTCCCTCGCTGCAGGCCTACTGCTTCCCAGAGCCTGTCCAGTCTCCCTGCTGCCCAGCCGCCTCCCGAATTCCCGTAGGACGGAGCAACCTCGCAGCCCCAGCCCTACGATCTGTCCCAGCCCAGAGATCCTGCGACCCCCGCCTCCCCGCTCGCGTCCCCAAGTCCCAGCCGCGGCCGTCACACCGCCCACTCCAGACCCCCCGGGCCGCGGGGCTCCCACCTGGTGCGGAGAAGGTGCTGGCGCGGTGTGCGGAGCGGCTGCGGAGCCGGGGCCGTCGGGCCGTCGGTGGGGTCTGGGCCCGAGGGTGGGGGCGCGGGGCGGGGCGAGGCGCCGGGCCTTACAAGGCAGAAGAATGTGCGGCGGCGGGCAGGGGCGGGGCCGCGGCAGCCCGGCCTTATTTGGCCGCGACCCACGGGCCAGGGAGGTGGGGTGTTCCCGGGTGAACCCCCCCAGGCTGCGAGGGCCTTCCCCATGGTGGGCCGGGGGAGGTGACAGGGGCGAGTGGGGGGCCTGGACAACCCGGGGAAGGGGGTCTGTCTGGGCTGGTCCTTCCTCTCTAGCGAGGCCTCCGGACCTCAGACCCCACCCCCACCGTTCCCCCAGAGCCCGCGCCCCGGCCTATTCCCCGGGGAAAGCTTCTTTCCACCAGGCCAAGTAGGGCTTTTTTCCACTCCCAGAGAAGAGCCGTGTCAGAGTGGATCTGCTGTACTCACAGGCCCTGCGGGGGTGGGGCGCCCATGGGCCTTGGGCCAAGTCGCTCTCCAAGTGCCCTCGCTGTCCCCACCTGCAAAAGGGGAGGGAAGTGGTGAGACAGTGGCCAGAAAGACCCACGGAGGCCCTGGGGAGCCAGTGAGAGCTGGGATCAGCGGACCCCTGGAGCATCCTTGCCAGTGGGGCTGCACCCCCAACCCCTTCTTGTTGGCCTGAGTCAGAGGATGGAGGCTGGGAGGACAGACCCATCCTCTCTGTCTTCACCATCAGGCCCTGTCCATCACTGTGAGCCCCCAAGGCCCAGCTTACCCATCAGCCCTGGCCCAGACTCCTGCCTGCCGCTTTCTCTCCCTCCTTTTGATCCAACTCAGCCGTTCCATTCCCAAGGGAACTTTTCAACATCCAGTTACTTACTTGGTAAATATTAACTGACACCTGCTACCTGTCTGGCACGAGTGCTGGGGAAATAGCAGTGAACTATAGTGATTGCACTCAGGAAGCTTTTGTTCTTGTGGAGAGAAATGTCATGAACAAATAGTACATGGCTTGGAGAGCAGAAACAAATGCCTGAAAGGAGAATAAAAAGAGGTGAGGGGAGAGAGAACAACAGGAGGTAGGGGCTGCCTCCCAGGAAGGAGGTGAGGGAGTGAGCCCAGCCTGGTGAACACCTGAGACAGAAGCCCTGTAGGGGCGCTTGTTCAGCTCATGGTCGGGGAGCTGGGAGAGGTGAGTGTCACTGAGGGATGGGGGCTGGGGAGGTGGTCTGAGAAGCAGTAGGGACTTAGCCCCAGGGATCCTTGGGTTTGCCTTTTGGTGGGTGTCAAACCAATAGACACTGCCAGGCCAAAGATCAGGAGGAGGAAGGAAATATTATTTCTTGCAGTCAGTAAGGAGAGCATGGGGAATCTTTCCCAAAGCATTGTCTCCCTGGACAGCAAAATTGGGGGAGGCTCAGCTGGTGAAGAATCCGCCTACAATGCGGGAGACCTGGGTTCCATCCCTGGGCTGGGAAGATCCCCCGGAGAAGGGAACTGCTACCCACTCCAGTATTCTGGCCTGGAGAATTCCATGGACTCTATAGTCCATAGGGTCACAGAGTTGGACACCACTGAGCAACTTTCGCTTTCACTTTTAAGCTAAGGGTATGTGCATATTCATGAAGGGGTTAAGCAGAGGAGAATTCCTCATAGAATTGGGGCCAGGGTTGACTTAAGAGTCCAAACTTTAGTTGATTAAAGTCAAGAAGGTCATCATTCCTTCCTCTACCTGGGTGGGGACTTTAGTTCCTGCAGTACTCAAAGATGAATTGTTATGTATAACCCCTTGAGGAGGAACTGGGACTTTATCACCGTAATGTTTGACTGCCTTTTTTCTGCATGCTATTGTTCCCTTAAGATCATTCATTACTGAGAACTGTTCAAGGACAAGCATTGTGGCCAGGCTTAAATCATAAAATGGCTTAGGCCAGAATGGCTTCCCTTCTGTCAAGAAAGCCATTCCTGGTTCTCTTTCTCCAGGGACCCTTTCACTTACCCACTTACACTTGTAGACCACTGTAAGGCCTCAGAGAGTTCTGAGCAAAGGGTGGCATGATCTGGCTTATGTTTTAACTGAATCCCTCTTGGAGTGGGTGGGTGGGT